GACTCAGGGCCTGGACATGAGTGCCCAGGAGCCCCCTCAGGGTCGGAGATTTCCCATTGAGGCCGGAGACTCCCCTGGCCTGGCCGCCACCCCCGAGTCCCAGGACAACCCAGAGCCGGTCGCTACGGAGCACAACCGGGTCAGGTGAGCCGGCGCCCTCCCCGCGGCCCCCCCTGCGCTCTCGGGTGTTCCCTGTCCCAGAGGGTCTTGAGCAAAAACCCGCCCAGGTAAGGGCCCCACGTCCACGCCCAACCCCGGAGACCAAGTGCACCCCGCGGATGGATCCCCAACAGCGCCCCCTGTCGCACTGCTCCCCTCAGGCCGCTTCGCCGCTGCCCGGGCTGCCACTGCCTGACGCTGCTGCACGTGCCCATCGACGTCTACCTGGCTATGGGCGGGAGCCCCCGGGCCCGCGCCACCTGAGTGCGCCTAGCACGTCGCGCGCGCCGAGCATGAGACAATGATGCACATTTTAAAATAAAGAATGATGCACATTTTAATAAAGCACAGCATAAACTGTTCTTTCCACTCCGGGCTGGCCGTGTGTGTCTGTCCCGTCGGATCGGGCCGCGGACTTCTCTGCTTCATCCCATAGTACCTTCCCTTCGGCTGCCTCCTCCCTGGGGTCCTCCCAGCCCCAGGGCTCTCCCTTCGGTTCACTCTCTCTGGCCGGGTGCCCCCCCTCCCCCCTTTTCTTGCTAGTCATGCACGACCCCTTCTCTGGCAGCCTTTCCTCTCGGACCCTTTCCCCTTATCCTTCCTCTCCCCACCCGTCTCTTGGTCTCCAGTGAAAGTTGTGTTACTGTGCTCCCAGGCCTAGATAAGCTCGGGATTGGAGGGGGTGGGCAGACAACTTGAATAAAGAGAATGACCTCCCACACCAGGCCCATTCAATTCTCCCAAGATGCACTTGGGTTTTGCTACCTGCTGTTTTGTGACCCTGGCATCTCTGGTTTTGTTGGAAGACTTAGGGGCTGCCTCTTCTGTTTTGACCCTTGGTTTCTCCTAGAACCGGTGGGACCAGAAAAAAGATTGGGAAATAGGTCATTTGAAAAACTGATTTCTTATTCCTATTTTACAGGTGAGGAAACAGCCTTGAGAGCCATGCTATCACGCTCCTGTGTCCTCAAACTCAATACCCTAAAAGCCACCCACAGGAAGGGCCCATGACAGGAAGTTGCCTGGGAGTGTAGTATTTAAGCTGAACAAGTATTTTCCACTTTCCAATTTTGCTTTAATGAACCTGTATTATTTTAATATTGGAAAAATATATGTAAGCCAAAGATCAGGTTCAGTCTCCTGAGATCTAAGTACAATTGACTTAATTTCCCTCTCAGGTTCAGTCTCCTGAGATCTAAGTACAATTGACTTCTACCCTAATCACATAGGGTAGAAGGCCAGCTGTCCTCAGAGCACTTCAGAATCCCACGGTCACCTGTAAGGTGACTTCTCGACTTCCACACAAATGCTCCCCTAGGCAGTGCCAAATGTGGGAAGCTTATTGAAGGATATGATGTTGACCAAAAGGTCTACTTTGAAGTGAGGACTTTACATGACCATTCGGTTCCTGGTCCTTTAAGACAGTGGTCGCCAACCGGTGGTCCATGGTCCGAAAGGTTGGCGACCGCTGCTTTAAGATGTCCTGATTCTTGAAAGACCCCACACCTATCTTTCCCCTCCACCATGATAACCCCTGGCATCAGGCACTAGTGCTGGCTTTTCCCTCCTCCTTCACTGCTCTCCTCCACCTGTCCCTCCTGGAGAACCCCTCAGGGACTCTCAGTTCTGTTAGGTGGAACAATCCAGCTGTTTCTATCCCCACCAAGCTTAATGTCGGCCCTCTGCAGCCTAACAACCCATGCCGCTGCTCTGCAGAAAAAGGGCCTCATTCCCTGTAAACAGTGCTCACCCTCCTTAGGAGGATGTTTTCATTTTAAGAAAGAAAAAAATTATCAGGCTCTGTATTGATACGGTCTCACCATTGAGAGCAACTGAAGGTAGCTTGAGCAAAAAGGAATTTGTTATTGTAAGTGCCTTGGAAGGATATAAGTAGTGATTAAAGCAAGAACTGTAGGAACCAGGGCATCTACCTGGCTATAACCAAGGATTCAATCCCACCAGGACTGCCCCATTGTTCCTCTCTCATCCCAGATTATCTCCTGGGCAGGCAGCACGTCCACAAGCAGCTTAGAAATCCCAAGAAGGGAGAGGTGTTTCTCCCAGTCTCTGTATATCTGCCCGTAGAGCAGTGGTTCTCAACCTTGGCTGCACATTAGAATCACCTGGGAATCTTTTTAAAATCCTGATTTCTGGGCCTCATCCTCCGGAAATTCTGTTTCTTTGTTACTAATGTTGTGGCCCCACCCCATAACAAAGAAACAGAATTTCTGGAGGATGAGGCCCAGAAATCAGGATTTTAAAAAGATTCCCAGGTGATTCTAATGTGCAGCCAAGGTTGAGAACCACTGCTAGAGGGACAGAAACTGGCCCTTCTTAAATCATGTGTACACACCTTGGGCCAATTAGCATTGTCAGGAAGATGGGAGACTGTAACTGACAGGCTGGGCCACAGGTAAGCCTTTCCTTGAGGTGTAAGTAAGCCCAGCCAGGTGATTGACAGCATCACCAGAAAATAATGGGTAAAGATGGAGAAAGAAACAAACCAGGAGCAGAGACAGCTTATGCCAAGATTAGAAGATTGGTATGTCTGGGAGCGAAAGGGGCCAGAAAAGAAAGGGTAGAGACTGGCAGGGGCCAGGGTGACAACTCTCTCTCTTTTTTTTTTTTAATATATTTTTATTGATTTCAGAGAGGAAGGGAGAGGGATAGAGAGTTGGAAATGTCCATCAGCTGCCTCCTGCACACCCCCCACTGGGGATATGCCCACAACCAAGGTACATGCCCTTGACCGGAATCTAACCTGGGACCCTTTAGTCCCTAGGCTGACGCTCTATCCACTGAGCCAAACCGGTCAGGGCACAACTCTCTTCTGTGGCAATGAGGAGCCTTGGACAGGATGACCAGATGTCAGGCCTCTGGGTTCTAGTTCAGGCTTTGTCCCTGGCACAGACAATACAGGTCCACCAAGCCTGTGCAGGGCACTGCAGATTCAGTGGTGAACCTGACCGACACGGGCCTGGGCCCTCACAGAACTCACATGGCTACCAATGAACCACCAGGAGGCCTCACGCAGGCAAGCCCCTTCCCTTAGGGCCCCTTTCCCCACTGATTGAAAAAAAAAAAGGCACTGGCTGATTTCTTTGGACTTTGCCAGCCCTATAATGCTGAATCCTTCCCATCTTGCCTTCTCCCATCTTACTTCCTTTGTCCCATCTTCTCAACCTTCCTTTCCTTAACATATATATATGGCCTCATCCCATGTGCTTGGATAGTGAGGGATGCAAAGATTCCAGACACCCACCTTGCCAATGGGCCAGACCCTGGAGCCAGTTCGGTCTAGAATGTCCGTGAGGAGGGCATTGTAGGCGGAAGGAACACTGTGGACAGAGGCAGGAGGCAGAAACGTGCAGGGCAAGTTCCAGGAATTCAGTTCAATCAACTTCCACCAATACCTACCTGGGCCATACCAGGTGCTGAGAGCCCAGGCCTGAATCTGATCACGTGTCCTTGCAGAGCTCAGAATTCAGGGGATCCAGGGGTGAATTCACAGAAGAGAAGCTGGACTGAGACACTGAGTTTGAACTTTGTTCTGTGGGCGGCAGGGAGCACCACAGGCTCCAATCTGGAGCACTTCTCTTTCCTACTTCGCATCTCCTCCATTCTGTCCTCTGCCGCTTCTTCTTTCCCACTGAAAAAGTCACTGGCCTAAATTCTAGTCCTGGGTTTGAGTCCTGACTACCATTTACAAGCTGTGCAACCTTGGGCTAGTTACTTAGCCTCTCTGAGTCTCCATTTCCAAATCTGTAAAATGAGATTAATGACACCTGGTGGGAGGTTTCAGCAGTCATGTGAGTACAGCACCAGGCAGGAATCTCTGGCATAGCTAGCACTTGAAGACCAAGAGAGGCTGATGCTGCTCCTACAGTTGGCTTCAAGGGGCAGCAGAGAGCCGGCCAGCCAAGTTCCCAGGGACTAGGTGATACCCAGCCAGGGAGGGGCTTGGGGAATCCCTCTTGCCTCCCTCTGCCAGCTTCCCAGCAGTTCTGCTCAGAAGCCTACGAACATGGTAGGGGGGCATTTCCAGGGGAATCCCCAAGTGGTAAAAGCAGAGTTGCCTCCCTCACCCTGATCCCAAAGCAGGACCCCAGATCCCAGCCTTACTGTCTGGACCTGAGGAATGGGGAAGGGCCCAGGGAAAAGGGGATGCTTGACTCACTGCCTTCCCTTATTCTCTCTCAGACACCTTATTAGCCAGCCCCTCCCTAAGGACTCCTTTTAGAGGGAGGGGGTGAAGTACAGATGGACCCCCAGGTTACCATGGAGATGGCAGGGGAAGGGTTGCTATGTCGTCATGGCAACGATTGACGTCAGCACCATCTTTTCCCATTGCTTGATATGAAACGGGGGCAGCCACCCCAACCACAAGCAAGTTCCCATAAAACCTTCTCCCCTTACTGAGCCAATCAACCAGGGGTCGACAGGCTTAATATAGTTCAGGAGTTAAAAGCACAGACTCTGATGCCAGTCAAACCTTAGTTCCAATCCTCCTCCTGCCTCATCTTAGCTGTGCGAATTCCTTAAACGCTGGAAGTCTCCTATGTACAATGTGGGTACATAAGCTGGGGAACTCCAGGGTTCGTGTGAGGATCCCAATTCTGGAGAATCATGCAGGCAGTGGGCACTGGGCCAACTCGTGTGAAGTCACACTGATGTCAGGGACTGTCCAGAGTCCTGACAGCAGGGGATGATGGGCCTTCAGCTACAGACTCACAGTCCCTAGAAGACTCCTGAGACTTCCAAGGACTGGGTCCCAGAGATAGAGCATCTCAGAATTTGGGGGTCATAGTGGAGCCAGAGACAGTGGAATTTCCAGACTCTGAGGAAACCCCAGATATCACTTTCCCTGAAACCCCATCACATCTGGACTCTGACCCAACTTGCCTTTTGTCCTCCCCTTTGCCTCATCTGGGTCTCCTGAGCAGCCTCCTCCTCTTGGGCCTCCACCTGCTCCTCTAGGAAAAATGATGAATGAGGAGCAGCTGGGAAGACTCAGGAAACCCCAAACCAGGTAGATCAGTGAGTTGGACACCACAGGGATATGGGTGTCCCAGCTCCCATGCCTCTCCCCACCCACCCTTGGGGTAAGGGCACCAGAATCATTTTCATTCCCTCTCTCTTTCCCAACCCCAGTCCCGATGACCACAGTCCATTCTGCCACCCCTCCAAATCAAGCTCTCATTGCTACTCATCTGGATTACTCCAGCAGCTCCTCACCAGCCCCTCTGCTTTCTTCCTCGCTTGATTCCTCCAGTCTGGACTTGTTTTAGAAAGACCACAAACCCAGCCATGTCATTCTCCTACTTAAATCTCATCCGTGACTTCTTTACATCACTTGTCCAGCCACTGGACACCCCTCAGCTCTTCACTAAATGTTTTTCCCACCTTTAAGCACACCGGTCCTCCTGCCTGGAATAGCCTCCTTTCCAATCCCACTGACCCTTCAGATCTCCACCAATTGTCACTTCTCAAAGAAGGCTCTGCCCCCCTGTTTCTGCCCTCCCATAGCACTTAATTATCCCACTGTGTACTTACTATATTCTTTTATCCCTGCTGAATGGATTCAGTGAGGACATATTCATCCCGACACCCCCAGGGCCTAAAATGGGAGGGCTAAGGATTTTGTAGAATGCCTGCTTGATGAGTCCACCGAGGAGAGGCCACAGTGCTGTAGAAGGAAAAGCAGAGCCAGCTGGAGGTGTCCAGAATGGCTTCCCTAGGAAACTGACACTGGGACTGAGATAAGAAGCAGTTACCCAGGCAAAAACCCAGGGTGGGAAATGGCCCAGCACTGGGATTGGTGTGTGCCATGCGTGAACTTTTTGCTGAAGACACTGGGCAGAGGGACATACTCATGGTTGGAAAGACAACCCTGGTTGCTTTGTGGGAACAGATGGCCTAAGAGATCCAGAGTGGCAGCAGGAGACAATCGGGAGGCTGCTGCAGCCTCCCAGGTACAAGGCCACAGGTACTGGGACCAGGTGTGAGCAGTGGAAATGGAGAGAAGCAATGGGATTTGGGTGTGAATCAGAGAGGACAGGATTTTGTAGCTCCTTGAATATCGAAAGGGAAGAGTATAGAACCAAGCCCAGATTTCTAGTTCAGGCAACGGAGAAAAGGGCCAAGCTGGGGAACATGAGAGGAAGGGCAGGTGCTGGGCATGTTTCCTGTGAGGTGGGACATCTAGGGGGCGGGGTCCAAGAGATGGGTGTGGAGCAGGGAAGAGAGGTCAGGGCTGAAAGAGAGAAGTGAGTCCCTGACACAGGGGACACCAAAGGCGTGGGAACCGATGAGAGGAGATTCCCTCGGGACAGACTGCGGGGCCCGGGACACCTATGTTTAGGCAGTGAGCAAAGGAGAAATTTGCCACGTGGCAGCAATCAGTACGATAGGAAAATCAAGAGTGCAGTGTCCAGAAAAACAAGGACACAGAGTACTTCAAACAGGAGAGAGTATGTGACTGTGTCAAGTCAGATAAAGCCTGGAGAGCATCCTTTGGATTTAACAACAAGGTCAGTGGTGATGACCTTGGTGAGGAAAGGTGGGGGCGGAAGCCACACTGTGTGAGTGCCGAGGTAGAAAGAGTGTGCACACAACTCTTTCAAGAATGTTGGCTGTGAAGGGATCTGGAGAAGGACACAGGGTTGAAGGAGGGCTTTCTTTTTCAAAGATAGGAAGGACTACAGCCTGTTTGTTTGCTGCTGGGAAGGAGCCGTCAGGGAGGGAGAGGTTGGAGAGAAAGAAAGGGGAAGGAATGAGAGGAGAATCCCTAAGGAAGGAAAAGAGATTAAATCCCCAAATGTGGCCCTACCCGGTTTTGCTCAGTGGTTAGAGCATCAGCCTGCGGACTCAAGGGTCCCAGGTGGATTCCGGTCAAGGGCATGTACCTTGGTTGCAGGCACATCCCCAGTAGGGAGTGTGCAGGAGGCAGCTGATCGATGTTTCTCTCTCATCGATGTTTCTAACTCTCTATCCCTCTCCCTTCCTCTCTGTAAAAAATCAATAAAATATATTAATAAATCCCCAAATGTGGTTGCACAATTTGGGGGGGTGGGGGTGGGGCAAGTCAGGACCTGTACTGGACTCTGGGGGCTCAAAACAGCTGCCCACTCTCCCCAGCAGCCAGTATGAGTCACTGGGGGGAAATAGCCCCAACTGGCAGTGTGGGGAAGCGAGCTGGGCCAGAACGCTGCTCAGGATCCCCAGGGGTTGAGGGCTCTGAGCCCTGAACCCCATGCTCTGAGCAGGACAAGGGCACATAAGAGTTGTCTCTCTTAGTTGGGGGGGGGGGGGCAAACAGAGTAGTAGGAAGCCAGGGTTTTACTTTGGGCTTTACTCCTCTCTGAACCTGTTTCCCGTTCTGCAAAGAGTGGGTTAGACCAGATTAAGCACTTTTTTAGGGGGAGGGGAGGTAGTCAGGAACCCTTTCTAGATTCTCTCCAGAAATATACTTGTGTCTGGAACTTTGCAGACAGCTTAGGGTCCTGAAGCTCCCAGAAACGCATTCCTGAACTAGATAAGAATTCCTGACCTGAGCTGGCTGAGAGCCTCTGACATTGAAGAGTGCCCTGGAGCAAGGGGGAAAGGCTCTTAAAGGGCGAGTGAGCGGGCTCCTCAACCTGGGAGCAGGGAGGCCTTTTGAGGTGTGGGTTCCACCTGAGCACACACACCATCAGGTGTGAGCGTGGAGGCTGGAGTGGAACGGGAAGGTTTATTCAACCGGCAGCTGGCCTTCCTGCCCTCCGCCCCCTCTCGCTGCCTCTGCCCGCCCTTGCCCTTCCGTCCCAGGTCCTGGGGCCGTGTCCAGGGGACGCTTAAGATCTGGTGACCAGCTCTCTCCCACCAAAGCGGCTGGTGAAGTCAGACAACGGACTGGACCCGCCAGAGGGGCTGGCGCTGCCCGCCCCCGCGCTGCCAGCTGCGGCCGCTGCTAAAAACAGCCGGCCCAGGGGGACTATGGGCTTTCAGGCCCCTCCACGCCTGGGCAGGTATTAAAGAGGCCGAGGCCGGCCAGGCAGCCTGGACACCATGCTCTTCACCGAGACTGCCCACTTCGTGGTGAATTTCCTTCTTTCCCGGTGAGGGGGCTGCGGGGGGCGCCAGCAGGATCAGGGGCCTGGCCTGGCAGGTGGGGAAGGAGGCGCCAGGCCCTGGGGAAGCCCCCGATGGGGGCCTCCAATCCCCCTCCCAGTCCCGCGAACTCCACCAGGAGTGACGCCGGCCTTGATCCGAGGCGGCCCCTCCTCCCCCTCGCGGTCCCC